ATATTTAATTTAGCTCACGATACTCTACTATGTTTAAGTCAAGTACAAGAGTGTAGCTAGGGTAGTCATTGACCCGGGCCGGGCCGGGCCGGTTCCGGGCCGGGCCCGGCCGGGCTCTTTTTTTTTGGGAAGGAAGGCCCGGGACCGGCCCGGGTAGCCACCCGGGTCCAGTCTGGGTCCGGACCGGGCCAGGCCTCCGGGTTGGTCATATTTTTTTAGCTTTCCTAACACCCCCCTCACCCCCCCACCCCCCCCAAACCCCCCAAACCCCTCCTAACCATCAAGCCCAACCCGGGTAACCCCAAAAAATGAAAAAAAAAAAAAATCAATTCGGCCCGGACCTGGGCCCGACCCGGCCGGGCCGGTTCGCCAAATACAAGGCCCGAGCCCGGACCCCCCCACCGGGCCTAGGCCCGACCCGGACCCGAGAACCGGGCCGGTTCCGCACAGTAGCGGGCCGGGCGGCCCGAACCGGGTCCATGACTAAGCTAGGGGAGGGCCAACCCAAATTTTAAAAATGTCTATATTTTTAGTGTAAAAAAATTCGTGTAATTTTTTTTTTCAAAAATACTCTTTGTACCAGGCCAGTGCACTGACTCCGCCCCTGATCAAGTATAATTATTTGTCAGACTTCAACTCATCAATCCAACTCATATATCTGAATCCGCCCCCAAGCTAACCGAAGTTAATTACTACTATTGAGAAATATAATTGATAATTCAGGCATATAATCTTTGAATTTGATCTGAATTTGATAATTCTTTGTTTAACACGCATTTTTTAAATTCAGGCATTTTATTTAGAAAATCTTGTCCTCATACTCCTGCTCAAAATGGGGTAGCTGAACGCAAGCATAAACATTTACTCGAATTGACCAGGACCTTATTAATCGATTCTTCTATTCCTAGTCACTTCTGGGTAGATGCGTTATACACAGCTACTTTTATTATTAATCGTTTACCTACTCCCATTTTGAATGGGGTATCTCCATTCCAAAAACTTTTTAACAAACTGCCTGACTATAATTTTTTGCGTGTATTTGGTTGCTCATGTTTTCCTAATTTCATTGTTGCCTCCCACAATAAGCTCTCACCGCGTTCTATACATTGTGTCTTTCTTGGGTATGCACCGGGCTATAAAGGGTATCGTTGTCTTTCTCCTTCCACTGGCCGGGTATACATTAGTCGGGATGTAATTTTTCATGAAAATATATTTCCATATAATTCTCTAGTCGGGATGTAATTTTTCAAATCATAAACTTCCATCAAAATATCTCTAGCCAAGGTAGCAAAAATCCAAGACCGAACCGTTTGGTCTATTTTCAACCAGTGAGAATAGTCCGGTTCTGTGACCAATGGTACCCGAATTGAACCATCTAGTATCCCAATAAGGCTGTGAGATACCAAGAAGGATTCAAATTGAGTACGCCATGGCAAATAGTCCTCAACAGCAGACAAACGTGTAGTAACAATATTGGTCACATTGGGCATAGAGAATGTCAATTGAGAAGACAAAACAGATAAAGAACCTGGGATATTTGTAGAACCAGATTCTGTCAGGACCGAGGCTTGCGCCTGAGAGTGCGAGTACATGTGGTTTGTGAAAGTTGGGCCTGCGTATCTGATGGCAGACGGATCATGTGTTGTAGAAGTAGTCAACCCAGGCGGTGGAGGCAGATTGGCAGTCGGAGTCTAGGTGTGTAACACCGTCCCCAAATGTATTTACTGTTAAGAGTATAATGTGTTGAACCTTATGGAATGGTTAATGAGTATACGAAGTTGTGAATTTTTAATATTTCTTTTGCGTGAATAGTAAATTCGCACGCGGGACCCACACTGGGAGCGAGGTCGCCCGATATTCCCGAGACCGTATATTTTATTCAACTTGGTCGAAATAATATTTATATAGAGGGGGATAATTTATTTGGTCCAAAGCAATGACATAATGTGGACCGATTGGTCAAAAGCGGCTCAATTACCGGTACTGGTAATTTAACGGATAATAGCCCGAAATTGGATTTCGGAGACCTATAAATTAAAGTTGGGGAATGTATATTCACTATAAGGGTCATAATGGTTGAGAACACATAATAAATTCTATTTGACCCGATAAAATAAAATATATTTAAAACAGTCCGAAAAATACAACTTTCGGGACCAATTGTACACTTCTGGACAAAAAAGGTTGACCTCCCACATGGGTGGGGGCCAACCCACGAATTTGGCAGCCAAAGGGGGCTGATTTGTGTCACACTTGAGCTGTGAGACAAGAGGGAGGTGGGAGGAAGCTATCAAGGTACCATGAGGGGGTCCATTTACACATTATTTTGAGAGAAAAGCCAAATAGGCTATCCCCTCACTCACCCTCCCCCATTATTTCGGCCAAAGAGACCCAAGAGAGAAGGATAGCTCTTGCAACCTCATCCTCCATAGCCAAGAACTGAACTCAAGCTTAAGGAGTCCAAAGAAGGGGTTTTAAGAAGGGAAAAGTTGGGAGAAAGTGTGAAGGATTAAGGTAATAACCTTATATTAGTTTCTCCTTTACTTTTCTTCTACCATATGAGATATATATCATATGAAGAACCTTGAGGATTGTTCTACATGGCTTAAGTGTAGAATGATGGGTTGGAAGGTGGTTCTAAGTCCAAAAACGGACTTAGGAACCAAACCAACAAATTCACCGGAAAATAACCTTTTAGAGGTTATTTGTATTGATTAGGGTTGCATGATGTTAAAACCTTGTTAGGAACTTGATTAAAGTATTTTTGAGCTTCGCCGGAGTTTCGCCGGAGTTGGTCAAAGTTCGCCGGAGTTGGTCAAAGTTTGCCGGAATTAGCCAAAGTTCAATCGGGAAGCGTAGAACGCGCTCAAGCTCACTTAAGGTGAGGATGACCGACTATATTGCTTATAATTATTGGGTTAATTTCATGAGATTACCTAAATGAATTAAATGTGTTTGGCATGGTTTATAAACGATAAAAAGTGCCTACATGGAATTAATATTATTTATAAGTGAAAATGCATAATATACAAAGTTATGAATAAATTGTGTATGATTATGTGTTATGAATAAATGGCATGATAGTGGTATGAACCAAGAATGTTCATTGTGATAAATATACTTTTACCCCATGTAAAGAAGTCATGGAAGGATAAAAGGGATATTTTGATATTAAAGCCAATCAATACTTGAATGTGAAATTAAATTGAAATATATGAACTATTATAGATATGCATTGGTTATATCAAGATTTAAAGACTAGTATAGAAATACTAGTCGGAAATGTTAGTTCAATAGTTCTTTGGAGCTAATCCCAAGATATTGGAGCTAAGTAACCTTAAAGGATATCTTAAGGTGGATCATATGAACCCAAGTTACATTAGGAGTAGGCCTTAAGGGTTACTCAAAGTGGATGGAGCCTAGACTAAGAAATTGTTTAGGATTAGATGACGTGACATTGAGCCAAGCTCTAGCACGTAGTGGTATGACTATGAGCCGAGCTCTAGCAAATGTAGTGTGACTATGAGCCGAGCTCTAGCACAAATTAGTATGACTATGAGCCGAGCTCTAGAAAATGTAGTGTGACTATGAGCCGAGCTCTAGCACAATTTAGCATGACTATGAGCCGAGCTCTAGCATGAAGGAACGTGAGTTAATTATAAATGAATAACATCCTAGATTGAGGGTCTTGGAAATTGAAACTTTAATTATACTTAGTATAGTTGTCATTGTACTTGTCAAATGCTTCCAAGTACTGACCTCCCCTTCACGGGGGAGGCCACCTCACAGTTTCAGGTAGGGAGTAAAGCTTGCTGCCATCACCGTTGCTCGAGTAGGATCCAAGAAGAGGAGACGTGGTTCATGCCTGTTCAGAATCCATTTTTCAAACACTTTAATTAATGCTCATGGATAATGTTTTTCTATTGAATATTTAATAGGGGCTTGTATGCCCATGTTTGCCAAAGTGTGGCATGAACACTTGTACCAAATGTTTCCACTGTTTGAATGAATATTTTACATTATGTTTGTTTATGGATGTACTATGTGTGAATGGTATTCAAGACGCCTAGTATAGTATGGATGAGTTGGACTGCGGTTGACTATTCGTACTGTACGGCGGGTTGTTGACGTGTCCGGTAGGTCCGGGGCGTGACAAGGTGAAGGGTGGTGGCATGTTGAAAAGATTGTAGGAGGCCAAGGAGGGAAATTCTGGCTGTCGTGGACGAAACGAAGGTGCCACAGGTGAGGGAAAAGGACTGCTGATAGCCACAGTGCTGGAACCGGCTTCAAAGAAGGAATCTGTTCGCGGAAGACTGCCTCGGATGCGCTGCTCCGTCTGACCGGGCGCTGATGATGTTGTGGTCGTCGCCTGGGAGATGCCGATGGTCACCGATGATGGCTGCTCCTGCTGGAAGGGCGGCGAAGTCATGGCTGCGATAAATTGGGAGGCGGCCTTAGTTGAGACGTGAAAGAGAAAAAAATAAACCTAGTCTCGTGATACCATATTGAGAAATATAATTGAGGAAATAATGGCATGCCCTCTTGGGTGCCTTAAGCATGTATTTATAATAAAACAGAGTTAAAGAGAATTACAAAGTAATCCCTAATCATTACATTATTAACTACCTCCGTTCCTAAAAAATTTTCCCGATTTGACTTGGCACGCTTATTAAGATAGTTGAATAAAATGAAAATGTATGATTGTGAATGTGTAAGAAAAAGGTAAAATGAATGTGAGTCACACAAATTGTCCAAAAAGGGAAATTGAGAAATATTTTTGTAATTAATTGGCCTATACTAGTCTCCAAAGCTATGCCTATGCGCAATTGCGGGCGCATACATACACATGCATCAATGCATGTAGACATATATGTGTGCTGAATTAATGCATGTATGCAATGCATGTGTGTACTCTAACCCGAATAGTTCGTTAATATGTAAAAACATTACGTAGTATATATGTAGCACATGCTGGCAAAGTTAGTTAATGTATTCAGTTAGTTATATATATGAATTGAAGTTGGGAGCTTAGCTTGTTGAATTAATTATATTTTGTCTCCAATTCATCTATCTATCCTCCAATTCAACGCTATACTATACACATGCATTTGCATGCACGGTGAATGCACATATAATAGATTGTCATTATTATTATTATTGGGTATATATTGCAATCGATCAAGACCGCCACCACCAACCGCCGTGCCCTATTATTGTTATGATTCCTTCTGACCGGAACTGGAAAGATCCGTCCGTCCGTCCGTCGTGAAGATCCATCCTATCGCTATCTAGCTATCATCATATCGGCCAGACGCCGGAGCAATATATAATGGAGAGAAGCTCCGCCGCCGGTGTGGAATTAGAGGGTGGTTGCGACCATCCCAACTTTGACGACGACGGCCGCGTCAAACGAACCGGTACCTAGCTACGTATTTTCATTCTTTGTTTTTTCCGGCCAGGCCATATGATAACGCCGGCTAGTAATTGATTATGGAAAATTAAAGCTGTTTGTGAAATTAAAAGCTCGGTTTTTTGTCAAATTGCGTATGATATCGAGAAAATTTCGATACAAAAATTGTTTTATAGTATCATTATCGATCACAAACAATATTTTTTGGTAGTATAAAAAAAAATTCTCTTAAAAACTAACCATAAAATTAAACTTCCACTCTCATGTGAACACCCATAACTAATTTAAAAATAAAATGCAATAATTTGTGTAGATTTGGTATAAAATATTCAAAGTACGAAAGTTATACTACGTATAATTATATGAAAACGTTCTTTCTTAAAAATAATTTCAGTATAAAAGTTTTTTTTTCATAAATATAACAACTAAAATCATTAACTACAATTTAATTAAGATCAAGAAATAGCTGTGATATCACAATTTGGCCAAACATGGTTATCATTAGCTAAGAGAGGTCAATATGGGCAAATAATTTTGTAAGAAAAATAATACGGAGTACAAGTACTACTTTTGTATTTCTTACTTTTAACCCAATTTGCTAGTGTTATTATTGAAAAAGTTACATTTCTCCGATTCTTATACGAAGTATCTAACAATATTAGATCCAGTGTTAACTTTTCATTTCGCGCGTTGAGTTGTGTAGTAAAAAAGTTAGGTTGAAGTTACTTTTCAAACTGTATTGGCTGAAGTTACTGTAGAGGTTCATTTTAGCTATTTTGTATATACGTTTTCTTTATTTTATTAATAAAATATATTTAAATATTTTTTCATAAATCAGCAAAATCAGTCAATCCATTCATTTCAACCGAAATTTCATAAATTTCAGTAGAATCAGTCAATACACCCGATTTGGGTAATACCACACATGCCCCTCATGTTCAAAATTTTAATGATAAAATAGTTTAAACACCTAAAACTTAATCGTAAGATCCGTTGTCTATACGCTGACTATATACTTCGTATTATTTCAACGAAATGCTCACTATGCACTACTTTTCCTCCTATACAAGTTATTTTCTCGAAAAGTAATAATACTTGTAATAAGGAAAACAACACTATTTTTATGATATTTTTACTTGGATTGATATCAGTCTCGGATCAAACCAAAAAAAGATCAAATCAGAATTTGGCAGTTGCAAAATACACATAGACGACTAGACATCTACCTAACGAGACCATTTCGGACCAACCTAACCTTACTAAAACAAACAAGACCAAACATCCTTACTCCCACCATTTCATTTGATCAAATGTGTGCTGATGGTTCCATGTATAATAAATAGGAACATTGATGACAACAGTAGCACATATAATAACAGCGGTGATTGGGTCAGGAGTGCTATCTCTAGCTTGGGCTATAGCGCAGTTGGGGTGGATCGCCGGCCCAATAACGCTTTTCCTCTTTGCCCTCCTTACCTGGTATGCTTCTACTCTGCTTTCTGATTGCTACCGCTCCCCGGATGGGAAAAGGAACACCACTTACATGCAAGCGGTTACAACACATCTAGGTATCACATGTGTCGCATATACAGATATACTATACTCTCTTTGACTTTGCCATGTTTGACCATTCAGCAGTGGCCCTGGTCGACTGAATGAGATTGAGTCGCTATAAAGAATTTTTATATTTTTATATGGAATGCATTCTCTCATTTCAAGTGATTAGGGATATGCTCATGTGGCTCAATGGGTGTCTATGATAATAAATTAAAGATTGTGTATTTAAAATTTATGCAAGGAGCTACGTCAGAAATATTTAAAAGGAAAGTAATAAAATATTTTGGGCAAAAGAATGAAACATAGAAAAGTTTAGTATACATGATGCCTAAAGACATATAAATGAAACACATAAAACTTTACAACAAAACATATGTGTTGATAGAATCCATGTTTAATTGTCTTGGACATATAAATGACGATTCAATTTAATAATTGAAGCTTACGCGATCAATTTTATTATATTTTAGGAGGGTGTAACATCAAGCTTTGTGGAATAGCTCAGTATACAAATCTCGTTGGGACTAGCATTGGATACACTATCACCACATCACTCAGTTTAATGTAATTCACTTTTCCTTCTTATTTATTATTACTCGTATTATTATTATATTGTTGCTGTTGCTGCTTACTTGAGGTATAAATTTTATTCTTGCTATTGATAATAAAAACAATGATCATGTATGTATGTTATGAGGTACAGATTAATGTATTCTCTTGTCTTTGCATTCAGGGCAATTGACAAATCTAATTGTTATCATAAATATGGACATAAGGCTGATTGTCGGCAGAAGAATAGCATCTTCACAATTGTATTTGGAATAGCTCAAGTTGTTCTAAGCCAGATTCCAAACATTCACGAACTTGCATATCTCTCCCTTATTGCCTCTATCATGTCCTTTGCTTACTCTTCCATTGGTCTCGCCCTCTCCATTGATAGAATTGCAAGTGAGTGATCTAAACCTAGCTATATATCCTACATTCTTTTTTTATACTCCAGGGGGCGTCTGAGGGAGGGGCTGGAGTAATTGGGGTTGAAACTCACTCCATTGAGTTTCGACCCCGAGACCTCCATTGGGTTGGACCGCTTCCTCATACCCTACATTCTTTTATCAATTACTTCTTCCATCCCGAATTGAATTCCAATTAGCGGATTTTAAGGTTGACTTATAATAAAATGGAAGAATCATTGCAAATAGTTTACTGAGATTTAATAATTAAAATTTACATATTCAGAAACTGTATTGAAAATTCGCAAAGTCCAAATTAGAAATAATACAAATTTGATATGCTAAATAAACAATTACAGTAAAATTATATTACTAATAAAAGTTGACTTTGCAAATCATTCTTGGATGATCGATGGAGCGAGTATATACTTGACTACTACTACACTAGTCACAATTTTTGTTGGGAAACTGCACTCTTTTTGAAGAATTGATAAGGAGGAAAGAATATGAACTTTTGTTTGTTTTCAAATTATATAGGTGAAGTCCTAGACTCCTAGCTATACCACCTTTGAAAATTGTTTGTGTTCTTGATATTTTAATGATTAACATATACATTCCAAATACAATTAACATTAACAATACATTTATAATGATTAGGAGGGACACATGTGACAACTAGCATAACAGGAAGGCCAATTGGACCCAACTTCTCAAGTACAGAAAAAATGTGGAACATCTTTGCCGCCGTTGGAGACATTGCCTTTGCCTACATTTTCTCTAATGTTCTGGTTGAAATACAGGCATGCATGGATGACTCTATGTTTTTATTTTGGGGTTTAAACTTAATTTTTTGATAGAATAAAAATTTCTTCATTAAGCAATCTTTGTGAACTTAATTATTAAACTGAAAACGTTTATTGTGTTTATTGAAGGACACAATAAAAGCCTCTCCAAAGGAGAATAAAGTGATGAAACAAGCCACTTTCTATGGTATATTTATATCGTCCATCTTCTACGTCCTTTGTGGTTTGCTAGGATATGCCGCATTTGGGAATGATGCACCTTCCAACTTTCTAACCGCATTTGGGTTCTATGATCCATTTTGGCTCATTGATCTTGCCAATGTCTGCATTATTGTTCACCTCCTCGGAGCATACCAGGTACCATTTGAATACACTCTATATGTCCCTATTTTCTTTGTTTATTAAAATTTAAACTTATTAGCTTCTAAGAAAATTTAGGTGAGATAAATTGAAGGGGAAAAGGGGCAAATAAGGCCACGTACTAACAAAAAAAGATCAAATAAGGCCTTATTTATGAGATTCTGTCCAGTTTTCGCCATTTGGGGTGGTTCTCGGTGGCATTTTCTGATGAAATTTTTTGACCATCTAATTTATTAAGTCTAGTTCACTCATACCAAATTTCATCTATGAATTCAATCGAAAAGACATTCAAATGAATTCTTGAAGATACCTGCACTTTTAACTGCGCAGGTATCTTCAAGAATTCATTTGAATGTCTTCCCGATTGAAGTTTTAGCTGAAATTTGGTATGAGTAAACTAGACTTACTGAATAAGATGCTAAAAAACTTTTATCAAAAAATTCCACCGGGAACCACCTCAAATGGTGATGGCCGGACAGAGCCTCTTAAATAAGGCCTTATTTGACCTTTTTTTGTTAGTACATGGCCTTATTTGCCTATATATCCAGGAAACTACATTAAAAAATCTAAATTTTAGGCTCAACGAATATGAACAATGAAACAAAAATAAAATGGGAAAGAAAGGGAAATTGCCCTAAATAGGAGTAAATAACCGATTTTAAAATTCCAAAATAGGACTGCAATGTCTATGTTTTCAAAATATGAGTCTTTACTGACATGATTGAAAAATATTGCCATATTAATGTTTAGTACAGCAACTATTTTGGCAATAATGACTCCAAGATGACAGTAAATACCATGAAGTACCATATTACTTGCATTTCAGGAAGAAAAACATGACAATCCTATTTTGGAATTCCAAATCTTCTTTACTCCTATTTTAATTCAGGAACACTCCCAAAAATAGAATACCCAAAATTGTTGATTTATTTCTCCAATTAACTATTGGTAGCAGAGGCGTATCCAGGAATTTAGGATGCCCTTGGCTGAAGAGTATTTATAATAGGCTTAAACATTAGCATGTTAGCTAAATATGAAAAATGAAAAAAAATTATTTAAACAATTGAAAAAATCAAGTTACCCTAAACTTCAGTCCACCATAATCCATATTTAGATCATCGATTGATTGATAGCATGCACACAGGTTTTCGCGCAACCGGTATTTGCATTTGTGGAAGAAAGGTGCAAGAAGAGATGGCCAGAGAGTAAGATGATGAATGCAGAAACATGCATTAAAATGGGATCAAAAAAAGGCTGGAGCTTGAGTTTATTCAAGTTGATATGGAGGACTGGGTATGTGATAATTACAACCTTGGTGGCGATGTTGTTCCCATTTTTCAATGACTTTGTGGGTCTTCTTGGAGCTATCTCCTACTGGCCCCTAACCATTTACTTCCCAATCCAGATGTACATTGCAAGAACCAAGACTCCGAGGTTCTCATTTGTTTGGGTGTGGCTCCAAATTTTGTGTGCAGTTTGCTTCATACTTTCACTATTAGCGGCCGCTGGATCACTACGTGGCCTTATCCTCTATATCAGGACGTATAAACCCTTCCAAGCTAAGTCATGACTCTCAGTCCAGTGGCCGCGGCGGTCCTCCATGTTTTACAGTATAGCTAGTGAACTATGTGATTAACTAACTAGCTAGACCCAAGTCTGATGTACTACCTATAATTCAAGCAAATTGTGTTTATTTACAGAATATCATAACTCATCCTCACCATGTAAGGGAAAGCCTGTTTAAGAATAAAGTATGTTAAATCCAACACTGCTCTTAAACAAATTCGACAGAGAACTCCTATTTCACTGCCTTGTAGATTTAGCGTGAGACATACTTTATACTACATATTTGATTTTGAAAAGGATCAAGTGGTGTATATATTTTTGCATCATTATTTGATTTTGAAAAGGATCAAGTGGTGTATTGAATATTTCTATAAAAGAATGTTATGGCTCGCTTTTACTTTATTCATTATAAATTTCAGCATACTACTACCTATTCAATATTAGAAATGTATCCATTGTTAACCTTACAGATGACATATTAATAAATTAATGCAATAAATAAAATGAAACTTTTAAAGATCACTACACACAATATTTAATGAGGAAATAGTAGGAAACGACAAATTATTACGAGTAATACACAAAATGTCTTCATTTTTAGTACAAATAATTATTTCCCAGAAATATTCTTTGTACCGGCTCAGTCCCTAGCTCCACCCCTAGATCCAATAATAGTGATTAAATAACACTATTTTTGGATCTAGGGATGAAGCTATGTCAATATCACAAAATGTCTTTTTCAATTCTATTATTTTTAATTTTAAGTAAAATAACACTAAAATAAATACTTCCTCCCTCAAGTCCTCAACCAAGTTTCCACTTTCCTTTTGGGATGTCTCACAATTAAGTTCCTTTATTTCATTTCTATTTTTGGTAAGTTTTTTGTGTAAGACTACTCAACTGCCCTCCTAAATACCCCTAACCCTTTAGATTTCGGTCCTTCCTTACCCTTTCCTCTCTCGTTACGAATCTTCTGCTCCATCTGCCGAGTTTCCCCCCAAAATAATGCTAATTAAATAAATAATTCCCAAAATACTATTGAGTTAAAAATAATTCCCAAAGTAATGCTGGATTAACCGGGGTTAAGCAAAGCAGTACAAGAGCCGCCACTTTAGCGGCTTTATCAAATACTCCGTATCACGTACGTAACTCACGCAAGCAAGCCAAAGGCCCAAAGTCAGTACATTACATGGTAACGGGTCCCACCAAATTAATCCTCCATGTTTTACAATATAGCTAGTGAACTATACCTGTGTATGTAATTAAGTAACTAGCTAGACCCAAGTCTGATGTACTACATATAATTCAAGAAAATTGTGTTTCTTTAAAGAATATCATAACTCATGCTCACCATGTAAGGGAAAGCTTGTTTAAGAATAAAATATGTTAAATCCAACACCGCTCTTAAACAAATTCGGTAGAGAACTCCTACTTCAGTACCTTGTAGATTTAGTGTGTGACATATTTTATACTTTATACTATATATTCTTGCATCATTATTATGAGCACTTTCTATATCACCAAGATGTGTATTGAATATTTCTACAAAAGAATGTTATGGCTACCAATTCATCAATTTTAGAAATGTATCCATTGTTAACCTTACAAATGACATATTAATAAATTAATGCAATAAATAAAAAAACGGGAACGGAGCTCAGGAGGAAACTGGGCCGAAGCTTCTGTTTCAAAGCCCGCCCTCTCCCTTGTTGGGATCCTTCCTTAATTCGAAGATTGCTGTCAAGGTGCAGGTTTGCTACTACCCCCCAATTAAGTCGGGAAGGGGAGATTTGTTGGGATCCCTCCTTAATTGGAGAGGTTCTAGAAAATTCTAGAGCTTTCTAGAAAAGTATAGAATTTTCTAGAACGTTCCGGAGAATCCTAGAGAAGTCTAGAACTCTCTAGAAGCTTGTGGAATAGTGTGGAATCCTCTAGAATATTCTAGAGATGTGTGGAACCTTCTGGAACCTTATGGAAGAGTATGGAAGGATATAGAAGGGAATGGAAGAGTGTAGAGACTCCTAGAGTGTGTGGAGCATTCTAGAGAATCAATCCCCACCCTGGGATACAAATCATCCCCACCATTCATTGTGAAGGTGGAGTAGTATAAATAGAGGTAGGATGCTTCATTCCTAACTATCCTAGTAAGAGAGAATCCACTTCTTAGAGTGAAAAAGCTAGAGAGTTAGAGAGCCTCTTTGAGAGAGAAGAGAGATATCTTGGGAAGTTCCTATCCTCAAGCTTGAGTGAGCCACCGTTGAGTGAGACAATTTTGTAACATCCTTGTAAATCCTACTATTCTTTTGTATAGTGAAAGAATCTCCATATTGGAGAATTTAAATCGTGTGCTCCCATTGCTACCTTGATTCCTAAGTGTCTATCTTAACTTCACGATGCGGGAAAGTCCGGAGTTTTTCCCAACATCACTGACTTTTATCATCATAAGCATCAGGCTGATGATAAAACATAAGAAGCACCATCACCACCATTAAAACATCAAACCTCAAAGAACCCCGGGAAATATCCTCCTCAGCCACTTAAAACTTGGAAAAAATGCCATCAATATGCCGGCCACAACGTTACTACTCTTAATTTGCTAAATAAGCAGTCAAACCACAATTGAACTTGACTCTGATACTATATTAAGACCCGATGTTTCATCCTGAAATGTCAACCTGGTAGGAATACATCAGTCTTATATAATGTTTTATTGATTTATAGTTTTCCGGTGTGAGGCAAATTATTTAACATATATAACAACACATATCAAAGATTTTTAAATATTTTTAAATATAAATGATTAAATAAGTAAAATTATGATTAAAGTAGGATTTCTGATTAGTACTTAGACGATCAATATCACAAAATTAGAATTTCTTTTTAGTATAAATCATTGAAATTCTAAGGATATATTGTTGATGACATAGATGTTATTACCTCCGTGAAATACGTCATTGTGACTAGCACCCCTGTCTAGAAAACTTTCACCGACTTTTTCTAGCGAATCTTCAAAAAAAAAATCATCATAATTTTTGGCAACTTTTTCGGCTGCGGTTCTTGTCAAAGGTTGGATAGGTGTGGTGGGGCAGGGGTAGATATGGGATATAAATTACAATGTAATTAAAAAAAATTGGTTAATTAAATAAAAGGTTAGTCGTATTTAAAAAAGGTAAACTGCTAATTCTTTTACTTTTACAAAGCTAGATATAATATTTGTGTCATTTTTTCAAATTAAAAGCAACACATTTGATAATAAAAATGATTAATAATGCTGAAAAAATTCAAGGTGAAGTAGTAACAATGAAAGAAAACACTGTAAAACTAAGAATTCATTTAGTAACATCTAAATGCTATTAATCACTAATTCGACTTATTAACCTTATCACATTATTTTCTTTATTAAATATGTAATTTTTTATTTCACATGTTAAACCGTGTAATAACTAAAATAAATAAGTTTTGAATTACTTTTATATACTTTTTTCTTTGTTACATTAATATATATATTTTTCTTCATATTTTAGCAAATTCAGTTAGTTCAACCACTTCAATCCAGTTTTAACATATACAATCTAGTTCAAAGTTACCTAACGACCTCTGAAATTACAGAGTAGTTATTAATTACTCCCTCCGTCTTAATAAATTCTTCCAACTTTGACTTGGCACGCATATTAAGGAAGTAAAATAATGTGGAAATGAATGGTTGTAGTTGTGTAAGAAACGAAAAGGGTGAAATGAATGTGAGTCTCACAAATTGTTCTAAAAAGGAAAACTGGAAGAATTTTATGGGACGATCCAAAAAGAAAAGTTGGAATAATTTTATGGGACGGAGGGAGTACTAATTTTGGGGTTGTCCAAAAATGTTATGGTTTTCTCTTTAAGTCAATATGAATCATTTGGCAAATTGTAAGGGAAGAACTATTAGTTGATGAGTTAATTCATACTCTCTTGGTTTCACTAGATTTTTCCAACTTTCCTTTTTATTTGTCTCAAAAAACTTTGTCACTTCATTCTAAATCAATGAATTTGTGACTCTGTTCATTTGTCTCTCCTATGCAATGTTGAGTGGGACAGAGTTAAGTATTACTCACTATGTCCAATATTTATCTCCTAATTAAAGTACAACCGGTACGAGAATTAAGATATTGTGTATTGTATGGTGAAGAATTATGAAGAAGAGAGAGAATTGTGAAAAAATGTGTCAGAAATATTATGAACCACAAAGTCTTTGACGAAGATGAAAAGAGAATATAATTTTGAGACAGATGAAAAATGAAAGTTTGAACATAATATTGAAACATGAGAAGTAAATACCACTCCCCCCATAAATTGAGCCAAATATAGAGCCCGTTTGGTAGCACGAAAATCAGCTGTTTTGGCTGATTCTGCTGAAATTTCTGAAGTTCTGGCTAAAGTGGCTGCACTGATTTTGCTGATTTAAGAAACAATTACTTTTAAAATATACTTATTAATAAAATAAAGAAAAAATTATATGTAAAAATAGCTAAAATGGTACTTTAAAGTAACTTCAGCTAAAACCGCCAAAACCTTACTTTTTGCATTTCTTCTCCACCTTTCTAGACTTGTGTAACACAGAGCAGAAGTACCATTAGTTGGTTTATGATATAGGGGGTGTTTGGAACTGATTCTGCTTCTGCTTCTTTTTTAAAAGCAGAAGCAGAATCAGAATCAGTTTTCAGAAGTTGGTACCCCTCAGCTTCTAAAAAAACTGATTTTGAGAGTAAATTAGAGCTCCAGAAGTGCTTCCGGAATTTCACCCAAACACTCCAGCTTCTGCTTCTACTCCCTGAAGGAGCAGAATCAGTTTTGAGAATCAGATCCAAACACCCCCATAACTCCGTTTTTCTTAATTCCCGCGAAGTTTGTCTTCCTCATCCACTCCCTGACAATGGCCACCATTCCTTCATGTCCTTCTTCTTCTTCATCGTGGAACCTCAAGAATTTCTCATTTCGATCTCCTGCTCATTTTTACCCAAGTTCTAAACATGTGAGGTTTACCCCCAATAGCCAAGTCGTGCCTTCGCATTGCTCTTCAAAAAGATTGTCTTTTTATGTGAGAGCCGAGCATAGAGAAGAACCCACTCCGGCGGCTGTGGCTAAGGAAGAGTCTGGAAATGAGGAAATCGTGAAGAGAGAGTTGCAGTTGGACAAGGATGTATCTGAAACTGAGAAGATTGAGGTAGAGAAACAGCAAGAAGTGGACTGGAAGAGCGACAAGGAGTTCAAGAACTTTATGGGTAAT